CTGAGCAGCTGTGAGAACTTGCATGCTAATGACGTCCACGCCTTGCAGGACGACTGTTTCCACAGACACCCAAAACACAGCATATTACACAGAGCAGCGATGATTTCAAACAGAATGATAAGGAGGAAGTAGTTCATCTCCTTCAGCATTTCTTTGTCCACAGTTCTTCAACACAATTCTGCTGTTTTGATAAAAAAAACCTGTAGATTATTAGTAAAGCCTGGCCGGCGTGTTCCTGGGCCCCAGCACTATGTGTGCCGCCAGTGGCGGTCCTAGCCAGTTTGGCGCCCTGGGCGAACACTCCCTCTGGCACCCCCCCACAAAACATATTAAGGATTGTACATTAACATAAAATTGTTGTACACACACACATAGGAAGAGAGAGAGTATGCATAGTATGCAAACAGCCATCATAATTCGTCACACAATGAGAACAGGACAAATCAACAACTGACAAGGACTCATTGATATTAAAATCTGTAACTTAATGTGTTGTTTGGAGTTTAGTCTGTTACTGTTGCTATTTTTACCATTTCTTCTGTAACCCACATAATTTTCTTAGGGATTAATAAAGTATTCTGACTCTGATAGTTTCAGGATGACCTGCCATTATCCAATCACACGTCTGCTTACCTCTTCTTTTCTCTTTTTCTAACCTGAGCACCTGATGGCTTTGAACTTTTCTTGTCCATCTTCCATTGGTTTTAATTTTGCACTCCAGTATGAACACCCATCCCTCGACCCAAGGATCACCACAACATGATCTAACACACCTACACCTTAGTTCACAGATTCACTTTGTCTAGGGTTTATTTCTGAGATTTCACACAACCCAGGATTCAGATCGTGAATCCATGATGGGCTTGGATTTACAACATTATGGATGAAATGTGCTCTATCTGGAAGCAGCCGGCCCCGCCCCTTTTGACGGCTTGTGTGAGACTTTAAATCATCAAACTGTAAATTTTAAATTGTTATTGATCCTTTACCCCTGGTCCTAAAGTATATATTTATTTTCTGACTCTTCTTACATATATTTTTTGTTTGCTTGCACTGCTGTAACTGGAGCCTCGTCGTCTCGTCTCTCTATATCAGGGATGCCCAATCCCAGTCCACGAGGGCCGGTGTCCTGCAGGTTTTAGATCTCACCCTGGGTCAACACACCTGAATCACATGATTAGTTCATTACGAGGCCTCTGGAGAACTTTAAAACGTGTGGAGGAGGTCATTTAGCCATTTAAATCAGCTGTGATGGATCAAGGACACATCTAAAACCTGCAGGGACACGGCCCTCGTGGACTGGGATTGGGGACCCCTGCTCTATATACTGGACTGTAGCGGAGATGACAATAAAGTTTACTTTGACTTCAGCAGCGAGCAGGCGCACCGAGGGCTCGCGCGCTCACTTTTCGTGTACAGAATTTCGAAAAAACATCAGTGCAGATTATACGTCTGTATCATGATATCTGGTGTTTTTGTGTTTGTTGGTTTATTTTTATTTTGTTTTACTTTGCGAGTCGGTTATTAGACGCTGCTCCAGCCGGTCAGAAAATCCTCGTCGCCCCGCCCTCTCCTCTCTGCCCCGCCAGCAGCAGGCGCACCTCGCAAACGGAGGGCGCCCTTACTCCCAGCAAATGGGCGATAGAAAACCGATCGGTGCCTACGAATTTCCCAATATGCGCTGGCATGACGTCGGGGCAGCATGAGTACAAGCATTTTTTTTTTTTTGCCGATGCCCGTGATGCCGCCCGTGTCACCCGTATCTAAAACCTCTACTGTGTGCCGCAGGAGCACAGGACGGTTTGTGCTTGCATCGAGGCGGGCCTGCAGGACTGCCCGTGCCTTTATGCCATGCCTTCTAGGGCCCTCTGCGGTTGCTGCCACGTTTTTTTGGACTCTATCATTGAGTCTTGCGCTTTCACTCTGGATTCTGCAGCCCTGTACAAAGCAGCGATTATTCCTGAGCAGCAGAGGAGTTGGGGAGGCCTGGGTTAAAAGGGGCTTTGAATGAAGGCCATCTGATTCTCATGAAGCTCACTGGCTGCACGCTCTTTGTCTTCAGCTTTCTGAAATGCCCGGGCCTGACTGAGCGCTTAGAACAGACAACAGCTTGTCTCCTCACAATTAGAGGTCTAAATTTAACTAGAAGGACACAGGCTGAATATTTTCATGGCTCTTCAAACTGTCATTATTTCATTATTTATATTGCAGACAGACCATGAAAAACATGAAAGCAATTACAACACTCAAGAAAATTACTTTAACCAGTCTCTGAAGCCCAGTGCTTTAATGTGTGGCCATGCAGAGCAGCTAGCTACACTCTGCTCCCACAGAGGGTGGGTAACAGTGCTGCATCCTCACACTGTGGCTGTTCTGATAAGCCACAGTGTGGCTGCAGCTCAGGAGGTAGAGCAGCTCACCTACTGATCGCTTCTTTCTAATATTGTCTTTAGCTAGCAAACAAAGCACGTGACACAACTGTGAATGAACACTTTATACATAAAAGTGAAGTGAACATAACTAGAGGAGCACTTTTACTATAGTCAGAGCCCTCGTGTATCATTCAAGCTACACTATCCGTCTGAGTTAAGCTGGATATGTGGGCGATATTACAGGACAAGCAGAAGAAAGACACAGAAGCCAATGCTTATTATATCACAGCCAATTAGACGCTGTCATTATCACATGAGCTCAGGCAGCAAACGATGGGTGCACTGAGAGGAAAAAGAGACTGTTTAAAGATCTAAACTTCATATTCTGCCTTTTGTCAGTTACTAACTTTCAGAAGTATGACACAATGGTAACACAATACAGAGTTAAAGGTAATGGAATACAATTTAAAAAGTGTACCTGCACATGGATGTGGCAGCCAGTCACACACTGAAAACATCTGTTTCCAGGCTCTCGTGTGTTACCAGTTGAACACAGGGTTTCTTATATTAGCTGCCATGTTGACATTTTCATGCATCTTGGAATTTTCTGTACTGAAATCTGACCTACTTGGCTGATTTACTGGATTTTCCCTCGCGGAAACTTCTCTTACATGCACCATGAAGAGCCTTTACAGTCTTTTTATTGCACTATGGGAAGAATCTCACGTAATGCATTTGAAAGTTTTCAGCCATTCATCTGTCTTCTTAAGCTTCTCCAGTTCAGGATGAGAGGGTGGTTTGAGCCATAGTGTACACCCTGAACAGGCCAGCAGTCTGTTGCAGGGCTGGCACATAGAGGCAAACACTCATTCACATCTACCACCAATTTCAATCATCAGTTAACTGAACCCCACGCCTGTGTCACCTGCTCCACACAGAAGGATCGTGGCCTGGAGTCAAACCCAGGACCTTCTTGCTGTGTGACATAATGTTAATCATCATTTGAAAGATGATGATTAACATTATGTCACACATTTAGCAGATAAAAGACGTCCCTCAACAAAACGAAATCAGGGTAAAGCCGTGTGTCCATGTGGTCGTTATGAATAACAGGAGTCCAGCCAAGTTCCTACCAAGAGACTAAAAGTTTGAGCGTGTCTGGAAACAGTTTCATTGCAGAGCTGGTCCTGAGTGGTGCTTAGATGTCCTGTGCACAAATACATACTCTGTACTAATATGGGACCGAGTGGCTCCCAGTAGCACTCTACACAACAGCGTGGCTGCTGCACACTGACCAGCACATAAGGAGATTCTGCAGATAATCATTGTTGGAATTTACAGGGTTTATTTTCACTTCTTCCTTTCATGTTTGCAACGCTACATTGTTACATAAATGTAGACATGATATACTCCCCAGATAAAAAGTAGTAATAGAGTAACATTCCTGTACTGTTTAACAGCGTCTACTGCACACTACATCGACTAGCTACACACATCTTTGAGTTCAGGGAGGCTGGAAAGCCTGGATCGGTCATTCCAGCAGGGACACCACATTATTCCTTCAACCTAGCACACGTGTCTGTGCGGTGAAAGAAAGCAGCCACAGGGGGAATAGGATGAAACCCGGACCGGAAGAGGAGGGTACTTTAGTCCTTGCTAGGAACAGCTGCTGCTAGGGAGCCGGTGCTACCAATCGGGAGGTTGTTGGTTGAATTCCTGGCTTCTCCCACGTAAATGCAACATGTTCTTGGGCAATTTGGCGAAGCCCAAATTGCCTCTGATGACTGTGTATGCACGTGAGGTGGAAAGTACTTCAGCACAGAATAAAGCATCTGTATGAGTGTGTGTGTGATTCAGGCTCTGAATACAAATAGTGCTTTGATTGTTAAAGTACCGTGCACAGGTCCATTGTTGCCATCATACGATTCAGGTACTCTGAATATCTCCTATTAGGATCTACAGATGATTACATTTGGGGTCACACACTCTTGTCACAGACGACGCCTGTTAGCACCGTACCTGTGTGGGGGAGTGGTTACAGTCTGTTCCCCAACTACGAGCGCTGATGTCAGCCTCCAATCAGCGCTCGCGCTGATTGGAGGCTGACACGCTCGGAGCCTCTTTCCACAGACGTGACCTGATTTCCATGTTAGCAGTAGAAGCATGTTATAGGCTGGGATTAGTGCGTGGTCCAGGTTTAACATTAAAGATTTAAAACTTTATTTATAACATGTCGTTTTCATTGTGAACAGCAGACTGCTTTACTTTGGGACACTGCACATAAATACAGCTCAGCCAAACAAGAGGGCACAGAACAACAAAGAGCAAAGGGAGGCTGGAAATTCAGGACTACTCCGGTCTAGCCATTAGCATGAACGCCAAACGAGGTACGTGCTCTTGGAGCCGACGAATGGATCAGCAGCATTAAGGAATGCAAAGAGCGGGATTCATCGGATTCATCGGCAGCAGCATCTCTACATCAGTGTGCCATCATTTCTTTTATAAAAGAGGCTATTAGCTTAAAAACAGCATCTGCCACTGTGTGCGTGTGGTGATTCTATGCTACGTCTTACAAACTTTGGAGCTGAGATCAAAGTCTAGGTGAAGATGAAATACAAAGCAACGTTTCAGATAACAGAGAATAAAAAGACTAGCGATAGCAAAAGACTTGCTCTGTTGTAGTGATAAAACACATCTGCTAACAGGTGGAGAGCCCGACTAGCAGATGTTCTGGTCGTTGTAATGGTAGTCGTGGTGGTAGCCGGCGTGGTACTCGTCCTCGTGGAATTCAGCCTGATAGTCACTGTCGCTGATGTCGGAACCGTTGGTGCCGGTGCCTTGGCTGCCGTTAGTGTGGACGACCGGCTCGGTGGGGGGGCGCAGTACTTGGGGTCGTAAACCTGGCGGCCCAGCCCGTACACGCTCATTCCTTTCTGAGACGCCACCTTGTTGGTGCCCATCTGCAGAGAGATGGTGGTGTTGTCCAGCGGCTGCACGGCCACTTTCTGATCAAAGATGTCTCTGCGAGTACCGGGGGCCGGCATGCCCGCCTACAGGAAACATGGCGCACATCAGCACGACAAACACATTTACACAGAGAGGACTCAAAGTGATCACTGAGCAATAACGCAGAGCTTCACTGGGCACACGTTTCAGATCAAACTCGTTTGATTATTAGACAAAGGTGACTTTTTAAAATGATGGCTTGGCTAATTAAGATTCATTGTATGTAATTGCATTTTCAGACTGTGTTTTGTCCTGATGCCAACCATGCTAACCTCTGATGAACAGAATAGCAGGTCGGGTTAAGCAGCCGTCCTCCTGAAGACACGTCAGACTTTTTATACAGTGCAGGATATTTTATTTAAGCTATTTAGCAGGGACGCAGCAAAAGCTAACAAGAGTCCCACAATCAAATCACCTGGCTTTTATAATCAAACTGCTCTGTGCTTGATGCCAGTGCTGATTTCTGATAGGGTCTTCAATGCACGACGCTCCTTTGAGACGTTAATGAGGAAGAGACAGTCTTAAACCCACAGTGGCTGTTTCCTTCTTCAGGTGTTGACCAAAAAAGCTAAACTCATTTATTTATGAATCTGAGCCGCACACCTCACTGTCACTCAGCATGTGAAAAGTCGTATAGATGTGGGGCTCACGTTCCACTCAAGTGTCTCACATGTTGTCGAGACACTGTTGGAGTAATGTTGGGAGGTCGGCCACTCCTGGGAGGGCTGCTCCAGGTCTCCTCCATTTGTGGTTTGAACGAGGCCCAAACGGCTTTGTTACCCAAATGCAGACTGATTTCACTGAGCTTTTCTCGTGTTGCTTTTTGAAAACTTCAGGACTGGCCTGGTGTAGCGAGTGAAATCAAAGCTTTTCCTTTAAGAAATGAAATCTTCAGGTTATCTTTGTCTAAACACACCAAGTGTGGACAATATGCGAAACAAAAGACCATGATAATGATCAGGGAGTGGGCCAATACTTCTGTCACAGCACGACACATGGTAGAGAGTAAAGACTGGGTTTCACCTGGCTGGCTCCTTTGTTGGTGCCCATCTGCAGGCTGATGGTAGTCTGGTCATAAGGTTTGTCAGTGTGAGTCTTTGGATCGTACAGATGTCGTCTCGTTCCATACGCAGTCATTCCAGCCTGACTCGCACACTTGTTTGTTCCCATCTGAGAAACCAGAGACACGAGCTCAGCAAACACAGTTCGTCTCATTTCACTCTACAGTGAACTGTTGGCATTTAAACGTATCAGGTTAAACAGGGAGTGTTTCTCTGCTCCATCAAAAGACACTGAAATGGTTTAAATCTAATGATGACACATCTCAGGTCATGTGACAGTCACACTTCATTTACCTGCAGTCCGATGACACACTGGCCAGCCTTGATCTTCTCATCATCGAAGTGTCGAGCTTGTTTGTCTGCATATTTCACTCCGATATCGATCTTTGTGTCAATGCCTTTAGTCTTAGCCTGTCAGATAACACACGCTCGTCAGACTGATGGCGCTTTGTGTTCTATAACAGAAGAAAGACGCACTCGTCCTCTGTGCTGTGCGTGCACTCACCATGCTAGCCAGTGCGAGTAGTGTTGTCTGGACTTGAGTCATGTTTCCGTTTTCAAACAGGTCATTGGCCTCAAAGATGTCATTGGGCTTCAGGCCGTAGGCCAGGATAGCTTTTATGAAATTCCCGAGGTTTTCCAGCTGCAGAGAGCATCAGGGAAACAGAGTGATAAGAGACGGAGCACTAATAAGACGAGTGACGTGCTTCAGCTGCAGCTCTGCAGTGTTTGTGGGTCGCGCTCACCTTGTGCCAGTTGAGCTGTGAAAGGTTGATTTTCTTCACTGAACCAGGCTGCAGCTTATTAATCAGTCTGTGAGACGCAGGGAAGAAAACATCACATTAGTCCCACTGCTGCAGCGGATATCATGCAGTTCAGACACATTTCCTTCATTTGAGAGGACATTGCATCACTCACATAACTTCCTGTTTTATAACGCTCAAAGTACCATCAAACCAAAATTCATCTGAAATGTGAATTTCTTCAAAATCACGTTCAAACCATTAGAGAATATTCATAACCACCCCACAGACATAATGTACAGGTAAACAGCAGTGCTACTGACATCGCGTCACGACCTTAAATATGACCACGCCCTTTAAGGTGGCAGTAACCTGACCATCACTGAACCCTCTGGGGTTACGACCCATTCAGTTTGTTGGTGGCCAAAAGTAGGTCTGTAGTTTTTATTATTTTTATGGTTTTTTGCCATTTTTTCTGCATAAAGCTTTTAATTAACTTCAGTTCTTTTCATAAATCTAAAATAATTATTACTTTTTACATTTTTAACCCTTTAAACACCAGTTTGTTTGTCCACTGCACCAGCTGGAAGACAACCTCACAATTTTATATAATTACATTGCTACTGAAATTTCTTGTATTGTTAATAGTAGAGTCTGGGGCATGTAATTGATTCACATCAACATTGATTATAATGCATTGTTGTTTTTGTGCAGGGAGAGCAAAAACATAAAAACTCCCTCTCAGCTTGTTTGTGGCCAAAAATGGACACCCCCTGTTTACGTTTACAAAATGCTATAAAATTCATATATATTAAGAAAAAATTCCACTTTTTCTGACTTGATTTTTTAAGATTAGCATCAGTGCTGCTCATGAAAATCTAAATTTCATTCAAATTCAGAATTTTAACCCTTTAAATACCAGTTAGATCACATAATTTTAATGATTTAAATAGGGATAAAAGCATAAAATCCCCATTTTTTCTAATAATACATGCAAACTGATTTATTTTCTAACCATGGTGGAGGTTAGATGTGTAGCAATAATTAAAAGTATCAATGAGTATCAATGAATGGCCAAAAAGTAAATCACAAATGGTGTGTTAGTGGCCACAAAGGCAATTTAATGACCAAATAACCACTGAGATGACCAATAAAATGATCAAGATTCATATTCCAGTGTGTGCTTCTGTGTGCATCCTCATTAGCAGCAAGATGTACTAACCACAGTAGAGTGGTTTTTGTAGGCACACTTTCTACACCTGGTGCAAGGGGCTGCTGTTCCAATCCTGGAGGTGCGCCTTTTGCACCTTCTTGTCATTTCGTTGGTGGGGTGGGTTAGGGGGTGTGGGGTAGTCTGAACACTCTGGTTCAGACTACTGTATCTTGAGATCAATGGCAGAAGTGGCTGAGAATTAGGAGAAGGGTGTCTTGCAGTTGTTGAGGTCACCAGCATGTGCCCCAGCTCTCCCAGGACACACATTAGTCATCCAGGTCATCGTAGTCAAAGGAGCTTGCAAAGAAAAGCGTCTGGACTTCTTTAAGTTGCTTGAAGACGTTTCACCTCTCATCCGAGAAGCTTCTTCAGTTCTAAGGTCAAATGGTGGAGAGTCCCAGATATAAACCTAGTGGGAGAGACCCCCCACAGAGGGACAAAAGGACCCCCTGATGATCCTCTAATCGCCTGAGCCGAGGTGCGAAACTGGGTGTGGGTCCCAATCAGCCAGGGTTTCGGGTGAGTTCATTGTGAAACCTGGAACACAAACTTGGAGTAATTAGGACCCTACACCACCGGGCAGAACATGTTCCCTCTAAGCCTGAAGGAAAAAAGAAGGAACACACGCATTAAAGGAAGCACTCAAAACATGCGGCTATCCTAAATGGGCGTTCTTAAAGTCAGCAAAGAGGCACAGAAAAGAAGACCAGACACCAGCGAGGGAGGATAAGAAGGACAGACGCAACAACATTGTCATCCCCTATGTAGCCGGTGTATCAGAGAAACTCAGGAGAGTTTTCTCCAAGCATGACATCCCAGTGTATTTCAGACCCAGCAACACGCTCAGACAAAAACTGGTTCACCCGAAAGACAAAACGCCAAAACACAGACTTAACAATGTGGTGTATGCTGTACAGTGCAGCGAGGAATGCTCAGACCTCTACATCGGAGAGACCAAACAGCCACTTCACAAGCGCATGGCACAACATGAAGAGCCACCTCCACAGGACAAGACTCAGCAGTCCATCTGCATCTAAAGGATAAAGGTCACTCTTTCGAGGATGCCAATGTTCACATTTTGGACAGAGAGGACAGATGGTTTGAAAGAGGAGTGAAAGAAGCATCTATGTCCACTGTGAGCGACCATCTTTGAACAGAGGCGGGGTTTACGACACCAACTCTCTGCCATTTATAATCCAGTTTTGAGATCCCTTCCCAGACGCCTTAACGCCCACTCACATCCTGGGCCATCTGACCTCAGGAATTCGCATGATAAGGTGGGGCCAGGTTTCACAATGAACACACCCGAAACTCTGGCTGATTGGGACCCACACCCAGTTTCACACCTTGGCTCAGGCGATTAGAGGATCATCAGGGGTTCTTTTGTCCCTCTGTGGGGGAAACTCCCACTAGGTTTATATCTGGGACTCTCCACCATTTGACCTTAGAACTGAAGAAGCTTCTCAGATGAGAGGTGAAACGTCTTCAAGCAACTTAAAGAAGTCCAGACGCTTTTCTTTGCAAGCTCCTTTGACTGTAGGTATGTAGAGGACTCCCCCACTTCAGTGAAGATGTTTCCGGCGGGACAAAGACATCATATCCCAAGACATCCAAGAGATTGGAGAAAAGAGCCATCAGTTAGTTTTCCTTCTACAACTCGAGGTGCCAACACCCTCTAAGTTATCCAAGCAATATTTGTGCCTATTGTAGTCCAGGATTGCTTCTTGCTTTCACGCATCCTTTATTCCCCATCACTGACTGCTGGTTCCTTGTGTGTTGCTGTCAAAAGAAGCACATTCCTCCGTTGCTTTGGCATGTGGGATATGGCCGTGGTAGCTTTGGTGAAGCCAAAGACAGATAACAAAACTTCCTCTGTTGCAACTGGAGGAGCTGGGGGAAGCTCTGGGTTGTTTCCCCTGTGCCCGTTTTCATCTGAGGAGTTCCAATCTGCAATCTGAAGTGTTCCTCACACATAGACTGTGTAGGAAGCAGGCCCAGACACAGTCTATGCGTGAGGACTTCCTGCAGCAACTCAGGAAGTTCAAGCTGCCACAGGAGGTCACCTTCTACACCTTCTGTCCCATGCACATCAATTACTGTCTGGTTCAGTTCAGCCCCGAAAACTGCAACAGACAATCAGGTCTGCAGAGAGGATCGTCAGCTGCCTGCAGACTCCTCCCATCCTGTTCAAACTGCTGCCTTCAGACCGCCGTCTAGGTTTTCTTCCCTCAGGCTGTCACTCTGATGAACACTGTGAAATAAGCTGTTATAGCATTCATATGTGCATTGGGCTACTATTGTGCTCAGTTTGTATAGTTTGTTAGACTTTGTGTAACTTGTTTTCTCTTACTTTTTGTTTGCATGCATAGATCAAAGTGACCCAGAGTCAGAGTCCATGTTTGTGGACACAGATTTGGCCAAATAAAGAGGATCTGATGATGCCGACTTTGGAGAGTGGGTTTTTGCAACAAACTCTCCAGTTTTCAAAACTGTTCCGACATCTGTCCTGTTTGTCTGCATGTCTCTGAGCTTCTGTGCAGGAACATCATGAAAACGGCAGTAAAACTATGATCGTCCACTCAGTGTCCACAGGTTAGAGAAACTGAGGGTGCATGACCGGCCGACGCACCACAAAGATGTGGGTGTTACAATAAACAGAGCCTTGGTTTGGTGACAAACTGAATTCAATCGATTAGAAAACATACTTAATGTTACATGGAATTTGCTTTTGTCTCCATTACAAAGATCAAGAGGCCCAACAACGGCAGTAACACAAGAGCAAACAGAACTTACTCGCAGAGGATGACCCCATCCTTCAAGCCTTTCTGGAAATTCTCTCCAATAGACATTCCGGTCACCTCTTCAATCCAGAAACGGAGCTCCTCCTCTTTCTGTGGGTCATATTTTTGAGCAATCTGGAGAGATTAAAACACAAATAATAATATGACCACATGAGTCTGTGATAGCACAGCTGCTAGCACCAGTGCCCAGCAGACCATGCTGAGCCTTTACCATCTACAGACATCGGAGCTTTCAAAAATCATCAGTCGTGTTTCATCTGACCAAAGCCTCACCAATGTATAACGTGTATTCTTTGGTTATACAGAACTAAATAAATATTTCACCCTCACAGGGTACTGTAGGGTCAAAGGTCAGCCACACAGGGTACTGTAGGGTCAAAGGTCAGCCACAGAGGGTCCTGTAGGGTCAAAGGTCACCCTCAGAGGGTACTGTAGGGTCAAAGGTCACCCTCAGAGGGTAGTGTAGGGTCAAAGGTCAGCCTCAGAGGGTCCTGTAGGGTCAAAGGTCACCCTCAGAGGGTAGTGTAGGGTCAAAGGTCAGCCTCAGAGGGTACTGTAGGGTCTGGGCACTCTTAAATGATGAGGTTTGGCCACTTGCAGCAGAAACAGCTTTTTTAAAACCTTTTCTCAGTAACTTTCAGACCACGAGGGACACACTAACACTGCAGTCATGAATAATAGAATTGTGGTTTACAGGTGCTTGGTGGTCTTAAACTATCTTCTGCTGAGGTCCAAGAGTCTCTCTGTGCTGTCCTTTAAATGGTGGGCTGTCACATGGTACACTTTCCATCAAAGGTTTTTACATGTTAACCCTGAACCGTCGTTTTCTCTTAGGCTCTCCATCAATCACAGTAAAAGACTGAAACAGGGCGTTCCTAGAAAGAGGTCAGGGAGGTAACGGAGAGCAGCCAGCAGGGCTTTTCTTCTTATCGGTTTGATTTAGAACAGACACTGGCATTTTGCTTCTAATTATTACTGCTTTGGGGTTTTTAAGATGCCGAGTAACACATCCAGTTACCCGTTCAGCTGGTAAAGAACTGCTGACAGATTAAAGTGGTTCACAAAGTCTCCAGAATCAACAGGACATAGAGCGCCCTTGCTGATCACTGTGGTTTGTTCTATTCTATCATGTGGACTAAACAAACACTCCTGCTGGGATCAGCTCATGCCCCAAACACATGTGGAAGCCTCACTCTCCACTGAATCCATCTCACCAGGTAATCCTGTGCTACAGAGGACAGATGGACCACAACCCATCCAAAGCACAGGGACTCTGCTTTTCTGAAGCATACGGAGGAACAATGGAGGACTTTTATCTGATAATATCTCTGAGTGTTTGTTTTTGTAGGAAGTTTCATCATATTGTAAATGTATTATCCAGAAAAACAACTTCTTTTTGCTGCTCCAAAACTACTGTTGATATACTTTAAAAACATCCATTTCCACATATTTATTTTAACACATTCACTCAGGCAGCCAAGCTGTTGTGTTTGTGTTGTGTGGTAACACAACTGGCTGGCTCCCAGTTCAGTTACTAAAACAGAAAACCATGAAAAACGGGACAAAGTTCAGAACGCGATAACAAAACTGTTTCTTTGAACTTCTGTGATGAAGCAGGAAAAGCACAGAGCTCATGCACAAACATGCAAAGAAAGATCTCTCCCAGACTTGGATGGACACAGCTGCTTTATGGCCAACTGTCCACTGAATAAGGGCTGATTATATCTGTGGGGCCTTTCTTTAATCAGTGCTGTCATGTTTAGCTATATTACACGTTTTTAAAAAAAATCCCCCAAAAGTTTCCCTCAAAACTCCAAATTTCAGTCGAGCTTGAGAGCATCTACTTAGGAGCAGGTTTTAGTTTTTAGTTGGCACTCAGAGAAGCTGCTGTCCCACATCATGCCAGAGACTTGGGGGATCCCAGGTTGTTCCCGAACATCCTAACCGACCTTCTCCAATCCGAGGAAGGAAGTTTGAGTCTTCCTCTCGACCTTGGCAAAGAGGGGAGCATTCGAAGAACTTGTCCTTGCATACAACTGTTAGAACTCACGATTTTGGAACCTGCAGTTGTTCCAAAATGGTTCCATTTCTGAACGACTGCACTTTCAGTTTGGTCAAACAGATGCTTTTTATACTGGCAGAGAAAAACTACCAGCTCTAACAAAAAGGGCTTAAATTTAGCGGCCTGGACAGCAGGTCTCAAGGGTCTGTTACATGTTACTGCAGCAGTTTAAAAGTTATTTATACTACTGAGGAGTAGTACTCAGATTTTTGCCCTTAAAAAGCCGAAAATGTCAAAAGTTTAGACTTCTTTAATGAAGGATATTTTATTAAAGAAAACTAGCAAAGCAAAAACAAATGCAGACAGTAATAATCCCAAAATAATAATCACCTGAAATATAACCTAGTCTGAGCTAACGCTGGGAGTAAGAAGCTTGGAGAGACGACGAGCACCCTCAGATCTGAAGATGCACTCTCCCCGTGTTAGAGGCTGAGCAGAAATCCAAATCTTCTTGAGCTCTTCAGATTTTAAAGCCCAAACTTTTCTTCTTTTCTGTCTTATTGTAACCTAGAATTTCTACACACGAACACTGAGGCAGATATGAATATGCTTCATCAGTCTTCAGTTAGATCATGATTCAATTCAATTCAATTTTATTTATATAGCGCCAAATCACAACAACAGTCACCTCAAGGCAATTTTTATTGTAAGGTCGACCCTACAATAATACATACAGAGAAAAACCCAACAATCATATGACCCCCTATGAGCAGCACTTTGGCGACAGTGGGAAGGAAAAACTCCCTTTTAACAGGAAGAAACCTCCAGCAGAACCAGGCTCAGGGAGGGGCGGGGCCATCTGCTGCGACTGTTTGGGGTGAGAGAAGGAAGACAGGATAAAGACATGCTGTGGAAGAGAGACAGAGGTTAATAACAGATATGATTCAATGCAGAGAGGTCTGTTAACACATAGTGAGTGAGAAAGGTGACTGGAAAGGAAAAACTCAATGCATCATGGGAATCCCCGGCAGCCTACGTCTATTGCAGCATAACTAAGGGAGGATTCAGGGTCACGTGGTCCAGCCCTAACTATATGCTTTAGCAAAAAGGAAAGTTTGAAGCCTAATCTTGAAAGTAGAGATAGTGTCTGTCTCCTGAATCCAAACTGGAAGCTGGTTCCACAGAAGAGGGGCCTGAAAACTGAAGGCTCTGCCTCCCATTCTACTTTTAAATACTCTAGGAACAACAAGTAGGCCTGCAGAGCGAGAGCGAAGTGCTCTAATAGGGTGATATGGTACTACAAGGTCATTAAGATAAGATGGGGCCTGATTATTTAAGAGCTTGTATGTGAGGAGCAGGATTTTGAGTTCTGGATTTAACAGGAAGCCAATACAGGAGAAATCTGCTCTGTCTTTCTAGTCCCTGTCAGGACTCTTGCTGCAGCATTTTGGATTAGCTGAAGGCTTTTCAGGGAGTTTTTAGGACATCCTGATAATAATGAATTACAGTCGTCCAGCCTGGAAGTAATAAATGCATGAACTAGTTTTTCAGTGTCACTCTGAGACAGGATATTTCTAACTTTAGAGATGTTGCACAAATGGAAGAACGCAGTCTTACATATTTGTTTAATATGTGCATTGAAGGACATGTCCTGGTCAAAAATGACTCCAAGGTTCCTCACAGTGTTACTGGAGGCCAAGGTAATGCCATCCAGAGTAAGAATCTGCTTAGATACCATATTTCTAGGCTTTTCAGGGCCGAGTACAATAACCTCAGTTTGATCTGAATTAAGAAGCATGGTCATCCATTTTAATCCACTTATACAGAAATGCTTTGACCTGTTTCTCTTCCAAACACACACACACACACACACTTTAAGCACCACTATTACAATAAATACAATGAACAAGCCAATAAGAATAAAGAAATAAAAATATCACAGTTCTGCAGATACCTCGTTTTATCCGACCACCAGTCCGGCCTCCTCTCCCAGTTCCTGATAAAAGCCACAAGAAAACCAGTCAAACAGACTCCGTCTGATTCTGACCAGGATTCCCCACCGTTGACAGTTTGGTTTTTTCTGTCATCAGTACCAAACAGCATGTATTTGGAAACACGACCAGTGAAACCAGTGCACGTATGTACTCTGAACTGGTTCCACAGTGGAACTGACGTTTCAAACCTTGCAGGGCTTCAAACTCCTCAGATTGTGTCACAGCTTTAGTTTCAGGCACAGCTGCTTCAAGGCTGTCAGTCACTACCGTCTCACATTTTTACTGAACAAAGAGTAAAGCAGCACGGAGGAACTCCAGTTTGAGTAACCAGACCAGTCTGACTCATCACACCAACACCCTGCAGTGTTAAACGATCATGTTAGGATTTCACAGCTCTGATCACAGCACTTCCCTCCAGCAGCCTGAGGAAACATGCAACAATGTGTCCATCGTGTGAAACATGTTGGTCAAATGTTCAAACATTATCTTTGAAACCCAACAAACCGAACACGTTCCAGTCACAGACACTGCAGCTCATGTTCCCCATCAAATACATGCTCATAGTGACATTTCACTCAATATTTAGTTTTCATTTTCAAACAATGCATTTTTACATACATGCGTGTGTGTTATTTTGGTCTGTCAGCCCACTATCAGGTTTGTTTTTTTCAAAACACACTGGAATCTGTCTCCACATGATGATATCAAACAGCAGGTTTCAGTCCAGCACTCGTGCTGAGCACACAACAGGAAACAACGTTACACTGTAATAGAAAACCAGTGAAATAAATGGTACAATACTGGAAACTGTCGAATGCTTGCTTTCGTTTTATGACCAGCGTAAAATTCTTTGGTCACAATGAAGAAAATTGTACTTTTATAACTGGCTGCTCCATTCTGCATGCAGAACTGCTGGGGCAACAGACTAAACCCGAGTCTGATACTCATATAATCAAACTATTATTCTGGTATTTCAGCACAAAAGCAACAAAGAAACCTCACTGCAACTGTTGACAAGTCTGTAAAACATCCCTGCCATATTCATCAATGTCATCCTTATGGATAGAGCTGGGTGTCATCTGCACTGCAGTGAGAACACGTGCTATACTTGCTAATGA